ACACAGACAATCACGCAGACGGTAATCAACTAACCTTCATAAGATAAATTCCTCAACAAAAAATTGTTCTTCATAAGATGAAATGAACGTAACTTTACATAATTTTCTTTAGACATAAGAACATCTCCACGGCAAACACACGATGAACATAAAACAACGGTGAAGAATGCTGTAAATTACATCAAAAACAGGTTCTTGGTAACCTTTGAGCATTCGCCTCGCATCACCCTCCAATAGATCAGTAGAATTCTCGAAGAATCGCCAATGAACATCTGTTATAATTTCTAAACGCATTTGCCAGTTCATCATCAGACTCGCTCTCATCTTTCATATGAGCAGAGAATCCAAAGAAGAATTATTTCTTTATCAAGAACAAGTTCTCTCAATGTCTCGTCCACGCTCTTTCTTTATCATCAATGACCTGAATACGTTCTTCTCTGATTCATCTTTTTTCTAGTCTACAAAATATTTTTCATCGAGCGAAGAGCTTTTCAGTAGATATTGAATGTACAAGAGTATGATCCAAGTCTAGTATCAGGTTCAGTTTATTTTCCTTCAGCAACCTCTCTGTATTATCTTGAAGCAACTTATCGATTTGGACATTGGTAAGTTTCAGGCCCTTACGAATATATTTCAGTGCAGAGATTGATGCATCGTCGTTGTTGAGCTTTTGACGCTTAGCTGTGCACTATTGGGCTTCATCTTCGTCAGAGAACGAATCGACATCAATAAAATCTCTTTTGATGCCAAAGATATAATTAGCGAATAAGTTGAGCGTACTCGGATGAAGCTTGTTGATGGACATAAGCAACATTCACAAGATTCTACCCTCTTCAATCTCTCTTCAGATTTCTCTGTGTGAGTTTTCTGGATTGATTTTTACTATATAGGAGCTCAAGTCGACTCCTAATCCTAATGGGTATTGGTTTCCGTATTAGTTTAGATGTCTCTATTTGATAGCAATCACAATACTGCTATTTATTTTGTTAAAAGACCCAAGAAGCCTTTTAACAAGGAATCATACATATATGGAAACTGGGAGAGTTTGTTAGAAATTTTTCTGGTAGATTACACGTCAAAGTAATCATGTTACGAATTATGTACTTAATATTTGGATGCTAATCGTTAAATAAAATTATTATAACAAAAAAAAAGGAAACAATTCGAAAAAATGATGGATGATTTCTCTTCATCTCCCCCAAATTTCAAATACATACGTGTGTGAATTGATTCAGTCAGTCTCAAGAGCCACATATAGATATTGTTTGTAGCAATTTACTAATTTGATAGAATTGGTAGGAATGTTTTTAGCAACATGGGATCATAAGTCAGATCCTTAGGATACAATTTCAGCTAAATTTTCCAGAGAACCGATTGATGAAAAAGATAGACTAAAGTTTAAGACTCAAAATTTTGAGCTAAAATAGGCTGAAGATCAATAATGCTCTCATATAATCACATCAAACCCGTTCCTTGACTGTCTTTTTAAGCGATTGCCTCACATTGCCCTCTAATAAATCAGTAGATTGCCTGAAAAATCCCTAATGAATACGGGTCAGAATACGGAGCGCACTCGCTAACAAACCACCCGGCCCGCTTTCAACCTTCATTTGAGGCAACCCGCTCTTTTCAGAACACGAAACTCCACCGCATCCAAAGAAAACTTACTTTTTTAACCAAAACTAAATTCTCTTGATGTCTCAGCCCGAACTATTTTCGTATCATCAAGGATCAGCACTGTTCTCTCCTCTCCCAGCACAATATCAAGCCCTCTCTGTTCCTCTTTGCTCGGGTCTTCTCTTGATACAACCTTCGAATCGAGGTAAATCCCTCGAGAGTTGAGGAGCCTCGCCATCTCTGATGCATAGACTCGACATCCTTTAGTATAAATGTACGTATAGTACGTTTTACGAGCTTCCTTCAAAAACCCTCGAACAAAGGGTCTCAGTTTTGTCACCATATTACACCACCTGAAAATACTCGTATCGGATTCATCCTTTTCCAAGTATACGAAAAATTCTTCGTCGAGTGAGAGTTTTTCAGAAAGGGTTGTGTACGTGTACTGGAGTATGACTACGATTTCCGCAACTCAGGAAGCCAACCCACAATCAATAAGATGTAAAATAACCACAATAAAGAAGAAAGAACATCGATATTTACGTGGTTCAGTCGACCAACTTCGACCTACGTTTACGGGCAACAATACGAGAAATTTACTATGTGTCAGGGAGAATTGCAAGAAGAATCACTCAATTCTCATCTCTCAATCTCTCAACCTCACATACATAATCAACTCTCATATTATCTCCAAAGTCCTCTTCTCATAATCTTTTGAACGGACAAAAATTATGAAACCCTCTCCCAATGATGTAATCTTTTGCACGGACAAAGACTACGAAACCCTCGCTTCTCGCACAATATTCTTGAATCAGGTTACGTTCTCTGCTAACCATAGATTACAAAAATATTAGCCCTCTCTCATCTGCTTGGTTTTTCCTTCAATAATAGAAGAATATATATAGGAAAACCAAAACCCTATCTCTAGCCTACATTCCTAATTAGAATAGGATTCAAACTCTTAATCATGATGAGACTCAATCTACTAATCATGATAGATCTCTAATCCTATCTAATTCTCATAAAGTTATACAAAGAATCAAAGATACGATCCCAACAATCTCCACCTTTGATTTGATTCCCAAACTCTCTTGAAGATATATTATCGTCGTCTTGAAACTTTGTCTCTCTCGCTAAAGTCTTTTATTTCTTTCACACTTCAAATCGAAGCACATGTACTCCAACTGGATGCCCTTATGACCCTCACTTTCATCTGTCTCGCTGTGACCCCTCCACCTCTCTTGTGCGCACCAAGAGATCTCCGTCATCTCTGGCATTAGAAGTAAATCAATCATATTTCTCCTCCTAAACTGAACTTGACAGTAACTTTCCCCGACTTGTTGTCCTCATACTCCACCTGCATCGCTCGTCTCGAATCATATTGGTGCACCTCTCCTACTCCACACTACAAGCCAGATGCCTCCATTTCCTCCATCACTTGGTATGGACCGAATATAAGCGTTCATCGTCTTCAAGTCCAATGCCACCATCTCCATCAACATGTGTGTCACTTAGTCATGCCTGCTTGCAAGCTCCACATAATCTAGCACTGTCCTCCTCGAGTCTACACACCAACCAACTACTGCTCCCGCGATGTCTCTGAATAATTATATGCTAACAACTCTACTACTAGAATCACGTCTGATTCTCTACCCCAGTCTCATCCGTCGCATACTCGTTTGCCATATATGTCATCAGATTTGTCTCGTCATCGCCATCAGAACTTTTTAGCACTTTCTAACCAATCTGACCAAAATCTGAAAAATCAAACTCTCCCATCGCATTCAGAGCACTCTAAAACTTAGGAATCAACTTTTGGATCACTGAAATCAACCTCTGATTCACCAATCTATGGGCAAAACTTTCTGGACTATCCGATGTGCATCCACAACACTAAACACTATACAAAACTCCACATCAAATCAGCAGGCCGCAATTAGATAATCAGCTCACGTGAACTGCTTCTCATAATTCTTTCATGTGGACCCCACTGGCTAAAATTCTTTTTCTTCCCACACGTGTAAATCTCCTCACATGCTACTACTTTTTCGACTCTTGCACGCGAACGAACAAACCAAAAACCACCTATGTTACCGCTCTTGCCGTCGCCCACTCTTGCCGCCACTTGGCCTTTCTTTTTTTTCTTCATCTTGATTCTTGTAATGTCGTCGATCCTTACTTTTGTACGACGTTTATATTGCAAACTCGCTTCCGGATCCATCATCATGACTCTGATACCACTTGTTGGGGAAATTTAGCCCCCCCCTCCCCGGTGCATACTAGGATCTCTGCAACTCGGAAGCCAACCCACAATCAATAAGATATAAAATAATCACAATCAAGAAGAAAGAACACCGAGATTTACGTTGTTCAGTCGACCAACTTCGACCTACGTCCACGGGCAACAATACGAGAAATCTACTCTGTATCAGAGAGAACTACAAGAGGAACAACTCAACTCTCGTCTCTCAATCTCTCAACATCACATACATAATCAACTCTCATATTATCTCCAATGCTCACTCCTTACAATCTTTTGAACAGACAAAGACTGCGAAACCCTCTCCCAATGATTTAATCTATTGCACGGACAAAGAATACGAAACCCTCGCCTCTCGTATAACATTCTTGAATCAGGTTACGTTCTTTGCTAACCCTAGATTATAAGAATATTGGCTCTCTCATCTGCTTGGTTTTTCCTCAAACAATAGAAGAATATATATAGGGAAATCAAAACTCTATCTCTAGCCTACCTTCCTAATTAGAATAGGATTCAAACTTCTGATCATGATGAGACTCAATCTCCTAATCATGATAGATCTCTAACCCTATCTAATTTTTATAAAATTATACAAAGAATCAAAGACGCAATCCCAACAGTATGATCCAAGTCTAGTGCCAGGATCAGTTTCTTCTCTTGAAGCAAGCTCTTCGATGCGATCTTGACGTAACTTATCAATTTGGTTATCTTTTCAGGCCTTTAGGAATATGCCTTAATGCAGAGAATGTCGATCCCTTGAGCTTTTGACGCTTAGCTCTGCTCTCTTGGGCTTGGGCTTCGTCTTCACCAGCGTAGAAATTGACAGCATAAAAAACCCTTTCGCTGCCCAAAAAGTATAGCGTCAGATTCATTGAATTACTGAATAAGTTGGGCTTACCCATCACTTGAAGCTCTTCGACAGACATTTGCAAAATTCAAAAGCTCTCTTTTCCTGTGTGAAGTTTCCAGTTATATAGGTGCTTTTGTCGACTCCTACTGCGAATAGGTTTTGGATTTCCTTGCTTACTAGTATAACTCGTAGTTTCCTAATTAGTTTTGGTAACAATCACCATGTTGCCATTTCCCATTTGAGTGAGACGAACAGCACAGCTACTACTAACAATAAAACACGCAAGTCAATCGCAAATCTGTTTACTTCAAAGGGCATCGAAAGGGCAGTTCCCAAAATGATCAATCATTTGAGGCACAGCCATTATGTTATGTTACAAGATCAGTAATACTAGCACGCTATAGCCGCCTCCGCATTCTTCTGCCACTTGAATCAACACCATCCAAGAGGTTGAGGCCTATATTGCTGCTACTGCTCCTCTTTCGACTGACTGCAGTTTGATCGTCATCGACAACAGCAACTGTCGAAAGAATGTCCGTGAGCAGCGATGGGCATGTATGCTCTAAGTGGCCAAACCCTTCAGTCTGCAGCACAACTGCAATAAGGATAAAACAGGTGCTATGCCATATGAGAAACAAATGAGTAAAGGCAACCTTTTAGGATGAAGATTTGGGGTTTTAACACACTTCCGATGCTGCACTTTACTAAACGACACAAATATTCTTGATCCGGATTCAAGTTTCATTTTATATGGTTCACAATTTTTCTTGGTTCCTTTATAAAGCAAAAGTGATCGACAGTTATCGTGATTACATGCGCATTTTTAGTTGAAACTTCTGCAGTTAACAGATTCTCATGAGACCTAATTCAAACCAGAAGACAAATACACAGTCAAACCAACAGGGCAGGCGATCAGAACGCCAACATGCCACGCAATCAGAAAGCGCAGCATCTAAGTTAATGAAGTGATTTTTACTGCTTACCCACACCCCACAACTTAAAAAGAGGATTAATAGAAGACTGATGATGAATATAACAAGAACAGTAAGAAGTAAATAGATTTTAAAAAAACAGAGAGAGAGAGAAGAAAAGCATAGTAAAAGATAAAGCACTGACAAATTACCAAATCATAGGAGTTGTCAATATTTCTTCAGACTGATCATTCTGCAACAAATAATATTCTATCTTGCCAAGTAGTTAGTGAGTTCATTCCGTATGAAAACTTTTATAAACCTCAATTTTCATCCAAATACACCAAAATCACTATCAAACTTGTTTACAAGAACAACTAATACTGCAAGAACCTATTCCATATAACATATACACAGTTCTACTATATACACAGATCTACTTATTATATTGAATACTTCGCTCAACCTCTCTATTCTTCTTGCTTTTGTGGATTAATACATGACTTGATTATTATTACACTTTCCAACCACCACCACAAACAACCACAAGCATAAAGCTCCTAGGGAGCCGCATATCTACATCGTCGTTGTCATTTAACACTTTAAGATTAGAGACTAAAAGGTTTTTGGCAATGAAGTTTGAACACAGAAAAGTACGTCTGCTTTGCCTATTACCATTTAGCATGGCCACACACCCACCACGAGCAAGGGAAATACTAGGAACATAGAAAAGCTGGATAATGAACTTCCTTGTTATACCATTCATCCATAGTTCATGCTCAAAAATAAATAGTTGATCCAAAATACATCGATAAACAAATAAGCAATAGAAGGCATGATTTTACTAGGCAGAACTAATGTATCTCACTATAGAGTGCAGCTATTCCTTATACTTTATATTTCAAAAAATAGAGATGCTTATAAACATATTGAGAGTGTTATTGAAATTAAACTTGAAAATTGATTTAACAAGGAAGATACAATAACTCTAGAAGTATATACAGTACTCACCTCCCAAGTTTTCTGGAGCTACAGCATATCTTAGACAAGCAGACTTCAAAAGAGGGCAATGGTATTGCTCCGCCAAGGACATTGTCGAAACCACAGTATCAGCTGTGACTTGTTCACACAATTTTTCTTCGCATAATATCTTCAGCCGCTCCAGACCATATCGATCAGCAGCAGCCAACAAATGTTGCACCAGGTTTGTCATCATTGACATTGAAACTGCTCCAGACAGTTCATGAAAATCAGGAAATACATCCGAGTACATAAATAGGAGCATGGCCTGAAAAGGGAAAACATATCCATCAGAAAGGGCTAGTTTAATCAAGAAGTGAGCAATAGGAGTCTGATCAGACACCTACATATCAGAGAAAAAACATCCTTGAACGTTTTACCTTACAAAGCAAAGGTGGCACTTCAAATACAACTTGATTTAAAAATATGTTCCCTTCCACAGCAGAGCAAGATGTCACATATTATGACCAACTACTTCAGTAAATGAACGGATTTCAGGAAGCTATAAATATTATTCCAGAAAAGCTCAAGAGAATATATCAATGTCAGTCCTAGTATAGGCCATCTTTTATGAGTACCCTAACTGGTCTAAGAGGGGGAAAAGGGTGGGCAGCGGGTAACAAACACCGTACAGAAAATGGTTTTTTTGTGGGATTTATTTTGTTGTTGTG